ATTAAACAAGTAAGAACTTTCTAGAGTACGACTACATGCACGAATACCAACTTTCGAGTACAGGTGCAAGTACAAACGCATAGGAATTTTCTACGATCTCAGTACAGCGGTTTTAATTAGTCCCTAGCACAAGTAATCCGAACCTAGGATCTCGTCGGATTCCACAAGATTCCCTGAGTAATCTGACAACTTCCGACAGATTCCTGTCGGAAGTTGTCGGTTCCGTCGATTTCTGACAGCCGGTCCGACAGTCGGAAAACGTTAGAATTCCATGCAAACCTGTGGAACTTGTAGCTCAACATTAGTTACCTTATGACCCTTCTCCCCTCAAGCTTCGTTTCTCTCCTCAATTGGCTCTAAATTAAGTTTGAATTTTGTTTATTTTAAATTTTATTAAATACGATTGAACAATATAAAAAAATAAAATACAAAAAAATTACAGTAAAATAAACTCTAGTACAATAAAAAAAAAACAGAGTAAAAAAAATATATAAAAAATATAATACAAAAAACAATAAAAATAAAACTGAAATAAAAATAGATAAAAGAAAAATAAATAAAAGAAAAGAAAGGTAAAATAAAATAGTTTATGCTAACTGTTAATAGACTTCTTGTCGTGATACAATCTAAAAGAAAGTAAAAGAAAATAGATAATAAAATAAAAACAAAAATAACTAAAATAAAATGAATTAAAATAAAAATAAATTAAGTAAAATCAAAATAGCCAAAATAAAATAAAATAAAAATAACTAAAATAAAAACAGAAATGGCTAAAAATAAAACAACATTTAAGTGAACCTAAATTAAATTAAAATTAAAAATTAAAAAATAAATAAAATTAAATGAAATAAACGGTTTCTACTCGCTGATGATAGAACTATTACCATAATCCAATCTAAAAGAATAAAATACAATACAATAAACTTCGTTTTACCCACATCTGTACACTGATTGGTGTAGTTTAAACCACTATATAGCGTATGGATGAGGGCACTGTGTTTAAAGCGGAGCAGAGCCGAACAAAAATAAAATAAAATAAAATAAAGTAGAATAAATTAAGGTTCTTGTTCACTTTAAACACACTCTGTACGCTAATTGGCGTGTTTAACACACGCACATCAAAGAATGTGGGTGAGGCGATTTGTTGAAAGTGAACAAGTACCTAAATTAAATTAAAAAAATTAAATAAAAAGAATTAAATAAAAAATTAAGCAAAAATTAAATAAAAAAAAATTAAATAAACTAAAATAGTGAGCAAATTCAAATATCTATAGATACTTTCATACCAACGGATTTCGCCGAATCCGGCAAGTTTTCATCATCGGATGTCATCTGATCCTATTGTTGGAATCCGACGGAATCCGTCAACGGAATTCGTCGGAAATCAGCGGATATTTATGGTTTCCGACAGTGGGATTCTGTCGGATGCCGACTGTCGGATATATCGAATGATTTAGGGATCCGATAGGATTCCGTTGGGTAGGATCGACCTCGGTAGATATAAGAATAAGACGTCAATTTAGTCATTGATGCATTATACGAGTTATGACTTAATAATGTTATAATAATATTTTAGGATTTCATTCTTCGTGCATGTGTGAGTATTTGTGTGAGTCTATTTTTATCCATATCCACATCTTAATTGTGTCTTTATTCTACAGCAAAAGATTCATTTTACCCAATGAAAATAAATCAGTTATACGAAGTAAAAGAAGAATGATATAACATAGAGAAACGGCTCACTTACGGATAGTTCACTTTATTAAGCGTAAGATGCTAATAAAAACGGAGTACGACTATTACTATCCCATTTTGCATCATCAATGTATTTATCTCGATATATACATACAACAGAAAGAAGAAATGTGTATTCATCTCATTCTGCGAAAACAGAAGCTACAATTTCATCAAATATAATTTTTATATAATGCAGATTTATCCACAGTTTCACATGCTTAAATCTAGAGTAAGAGTACCATCAAAATTGTATTTGACTATGAGTGATTTGAGTACTTGACCGAGCTCTTGATTTATGAAGCCATACGAATGAAGTTGACGGTGATAATCCTTGATTTCGGTGAAAAAATTGCAGTTTTTATGTAAAAAAATATTAATACATATATTAATATATTTATAACGTAATTTACCATTGAGTTGATTTAAGAATTGACCTTTTATCATAGAACTATGAATTTGAGTAATATTTGGTGACTTGATTGAGTGTGTTGCTGGATAAGATTCATTTTGGTTAAGTTGAATATAATTATGTTCAATGTAAATATTCGATGTGACTTCATCAGCAAGATCAATTATGGTTGATGATGATGATGATATAAGATTACTGATTGAAGCAGTTGTTTTGTGAAATACGTTCTGAAAGAAGTGTTGAACTAATTGAGTAGAGATTTGGACTTACATGTCTAGTCCCTCCACAGATTGTGACAGACATTCCACTTAATTAAATAATTAACCAAACAATGGCCAGGTAATGAATATGTAATTAACTAATTACTATTTAATTTATTAATGACCCATCACAGACCGTGACAGATGACTTTAAGGAACTATCGAGGATCATGTATAACCAACATCTCATTGAAATATAGATGGAATATTTCCTTGTTGAAGTTCTATACTGTAGAGTAAGCAATGATGAAGAAATATACGTCAATATACATAAAGATCGGTTTTACGAGATGGTCAAAAATAGATAAACCGTATTTCAAATTTTAATCCCGTAAAGATTACGCTATTAAGACTGAATGCGACATAATGGAAAAGAGCATTAGATGATATTTTTTCTGAGTATCCTTCTATAGCTTAGCTACCCCTATCTTATAGCAACGAAAGAAACTATCTGGTACAACTCTTTCCAAGGATCATTAGCTACAGAAAGAGCAATTAGGTATCTGTTTTTTAGATTTTTATTCATGAGTGTGAGTGATATCATAATCCCGTTACATCGGGTATCCACCATGAAACATGAAGAGTAACCGGGCATTCGAATGAAGCGTATTCACTCTTATCCAACCTTCACCACACTGCGGAGTAATCACTTCATCTATTACCCCGAGGGTAATGACATTCATCAGAGGAATGAATAACTATATATTTAAAGTTGAGCGTTTTGAGTGGTTTTGATGTAACGAGATCATTACACCGAGGTAATACACCAAAACCACTCAAAACGCTCAACTTCTAGGAGATATAGTTATCTTGTGGGTAATGACTTCATTACCCCGATATAAACTATATATCTTAAAAGTTGAGCGTTTTGAGTAGTTTTGGTGTAACGAGATCATTACACCGGGGTAATACACCAAAACCACTCAAAACGCTCAACTTCTAGGATAGATAGTTATCTTATGGGTAATGACTTCGTTACCCCGATATAAACTATATGTCTTTAAATTTGAGCGTTTAGTGGTTTTGGTGTAACGAGATCATTACACCGGGGTAATACACCAAATCCACTCAAAACACTCAACTTTAAGAATGTATGGTTTGTGTAAGGGGTAATGAAGTCATTACTTCTCTTCGTAAGTCATTGGTCGTAACAGTGAATATACTTGATTACTCTTGGGGTATTCTGACGGTTAGCTCTCGATACCCAGCGTAATGGTATTATGACATCTATGATGAGTGTCTGATAAATCATTGAGATTGTAAAACAAATAAACATAAAATCGATAGTTTGGGTAGCTTTGCTTATCATTTTGTGTAATTGTCGAAGTTACTTGAGAATTTCATCAAAGTCGGTAGAGATCTATAAGCTCCCAATACGTAAGTTTTGCTGGGAGGTGATTGTACTCCTACAAAATGTGTACATAACTACTCATTTCAGAGACCTTCCGAAATTACTCATCATTTTTCTTATTTTTCTTGTCTGTGTCTCATTCCTTCGCCTTCATGCAAAGTGATGTCGAGATAAGAGAGCGAGGAAAAAAGAACATTGTCTTGTCCTATGCAATAGTTTTTCCATTCTTTGTTTGTGCAGAATAGAAAACTAGCAAATTTCATTTTCTTTTTGGTTGTTTCACAGTTTTTTTTAGACATGCAAACCAATTGGTTTCCATCGGTTTAGCGAATGTTTTCCATCGATTATATTGTTCATCCCAGATATAAATCAATCGATCACTAGTGAAGAAATGATGAAGATAACCAGAGGTGAATGCTGCTTTAACCGAACCGGAAAAGCCTGAGAATTCTACGCTGAGTTTTCTTTCGGTCGATATTTTCTGCATATCGTCTACATCGAACAGTTGCAAGCTTTTCGCTTTGATAACATGGATTCCATCCTGATAGAAAATAGCGCCAACAATGACACTTTGTAAATGAGTTGGTAAAGGATCGTCACGGAGATACTCGACTTGATAGGAACGTAGCTGAATTTTGTATCGATAGACGCGTGCACTAGTAAAAATTAGGACCACGTTAGTGATGAAATCATAAGCACCGCCAGAGATTCGATTCGGTAAACGATGATAGATGCGTTGAAAGGGTATGACTCGTGTGTCCCAGTTTTGCTTATCAAACAAATAGCGTCTAAGCAATCCAGTATCCAATGCATGAAATGTTTTGTCTGGAAAATCGAATGCCGCATCGATGAAGAGTCGACAAGACAGTTTGTGTATTGACGGAGAAGTCGTAGTGGATCGAGTAGTCGTTCTCATTCTGGTTGTGGCTGTTGTTATCCGTGTCGATTGAGTAGTTTTCATCGTCGTGATCGATGTGTTTGCTTTAAAGATCGACCCGTACTTTTTTTGAATTGTGATCCGATCGAATTGCGGCAAAATATTTTTTCTTTTCATCACCTGATAGCTAGGGTACATTATCGAAGCTTTTTCATACACATGATCTAAGCCAAGTGCATGGCCAATTTCATGAACAGCAACAACATAAAGATTGATGTTGTATCCGTCATAACTGTACATGAAAAGAATAGACATTTTCTCTAAAATGGTCGGCTGAAAATGGGCAGCCACCCATACAACAAGAACTTACCTGTTTGTCCATGGTTCATCCATGTCAAAATGTATTCGACCATCTTCGGGATGATAGGCATGTGCCAACGTCCCACCTTGTCCATCGAAAGGATAATGATCGCCGTGATTGGTCTGACCAAAATCGACAACGATATTCGACGAACACGTAGAACAGACTTGCTTGACATTCAATGGGATATGTTGAGACCAAGCATTAAATGCTTGCTGAATGATATTTCGCGACTCTGCTGCACCAATACGTGCTGAATAATTTTTAAGCGACCAAGTCAATGTTGAACGTGACCATTTTAATCCCAATGATGCAGCAGTGTTTTTCACTAAGCTGAATGATGGATCCTTATTACCGCAACGTGGTTGACTCATTTGTCGTTTGGTAGCATCATCCAGGATGCCGGTGACTTTTAAATGAAACCGTTCTTGAAAATCTTTTAACATACTCGAAAAGCTAAGTGTGCATAGTAAACCTGTCGAATCAATACACGAATTATAGCCAAATCTATTGAGATATGCAAGAGCATCGCTATTTGATTGAATTATCGTATTAATTGTCTTATTTGTGCTGGACGAGACACTAATATAGCATAGAATGATGAAAAATGAGGAGTAGTGCAACATAGTTTTATGTCAAGGCATGAAAGAATGAAAGCATTTCATTTTTTTTACAATCGACGTCTTATCTTGATAGTATTTTGGTTACGACGAACGTGATGATCAAATTACTGATTCGTGCAAAATCAGATTGGATGCCAATTTTATTCTATGCTTTCGCATTGATCAATACATGCCGGGAATCGTTTTATGAATTAGAGTAAGTCGAATATATGGCATCAATAATTTTTTGAAGATCGAGTTCTTTTCTCGTGGTTAAATACAATAAACAATCGTTCGATGATGAACAGAAAATGTAACGACTATATACAGTATGATGCCCAATTCGTACAGATCTTTGGCATCTAAATTTTTAGTGACTAAAACTGGCTAATAATTTTTGGAAAAAAAAATTTTAAAATTTGAGCGTCTAAACAGATTCGAAAATTTTATGGACTATCTTTTGTTAGCTATATTTTACAAACAACAATTCGTAATATTTTTTTTCTTGATGCAGAAGCAGAAAATTTTATTTTACATAATTTCAGCATTGATTCAACACATAGTCCTATTTTACTTTCGTAAAAATATGATAATGGTGTACTTTTAATCTTCACTGTATATTTAAAAAAAAAATGAAAGTTATCTAAAATAATGGTTTTATAAACTTTTGCTAGTACATTTGTAGTTATTTAACGATTTAAGTCTTTTGTGTAAATTCTCCTAAATTACTTACCAATTGTATGTTCGATGATATTTTACAAATTAATCGACATAGAATGGCATAAAACGAAGGAATAAACATATTAAATTATCAAATAATTACAAATATACTTGAAAGAAATCTATAAAGGCATTATTCTAAATAACTGTCATTAATTTTTGAACAAATATGGGGTCATTGCTAAAAACAAGTATATCATCGTACCTTTACAAAAGTAAAATGGAATTACATGTTGAATTAAAACTTAGAGATTGTAACAAATAATTCTAAGAGTAAATATACGTTGTCACGTGCAGCACTGTCAACTGATGATTTTTCTAACAAAAACTTCTTTTGTTTTTTTTTTCGTATTTGTTAGACTGCAGTTCGTTTGGCATTGCTTGTATGAAAAAGTCTTTCTACATCTTTCATTTTGAGATATCCACACCTAATCAGAGGTAAACCTTTAGACTGTAATATTTTGGATGCTTTTGCGTGATTTATAAAGAGCTGACTTCCTATGGGATTAAATTCAAAATCTATATTGATCCTCATGTTTTCGCCATCTTTAGTTTTCTGGTAGGAACATCTTTTACAAACTGCATCTTTTGAATCTTTATTTCTAGTCTGCTCTTAAACACAGGTTCAACAACTGAATAAATGTAGTAACAATTTAGAAGATGAATCATTTGGAAAGATATAAGTGGTTGTAGGATCTCTATCTTGAAAGCACACATTTTATTGGCAGATGTGTTAGAAAAATTTATCAATAGTGTTATTCGAGTTGGTTTTGTTCAGAAACTTCCAAAGAAGTGATTGTAATATTGAAAGATTTATTTCTTTGAGTTAATGGATGAGCTGTCAATAATATCATCTTCTTTGCTTTATTCATTGGGCATTCACATTTTACTATTCGTAATTGAGTTATGGCTGTGTATAAAATAGATAATATTAATAATGTTTCTATGTAGTGTACACATTAGACATATCTTTCATGTCAAATTTGTCAGTATATTTTCAAAAAATTAATTGATATCTATCTTCCATGACTAAAATTGTAGACTTTTAAAATGGATCTACTACCTTTTTTGGTATATTAAACTAATAATAATTTTCAAGCCAAATGGTAACGTGTTCTATAAAGCTTAGGCTAGCATCAAACTATTTTAGATATGAGACCAATAGGAACATGCTAGACCTAACTCAATTGATTAGTCATCCTTGTTATGTTTAGTCTATATTTCTATTGGTAAATATTGATTTTATTTTCTGTAATATTCTTTGACTTTTATCCAAAAGTTAAATTAACAAACTTTTCTCTCATTCATGGTTGTGCAATGATCATGAATTGTTGTATTAATATAAATTATATCTGTATTACCTTGATAATAAGAATAAATAATTAGAACAAAATAATCATGCTATCATCCATCGACTTCTTTAAGTCAAGGAAACTAGCGCACTCTGTTGAAATGATCTCTTTACATTGGTTATTGAATTGCATAGAAAAAATATGGATATCGAGTCCATTTGATGTGTTGTGAAAGATTGCTTTCATTTTTTAGACATTTTATTTTCTTAATCGATCCATCATGCCTCGTACATATGGCGAAGAGTTAAAATTTATTGAACGCATTAACAATCATTGTTGGCGTATAAAAAAAGGTTTTGTACCTAATATGAATGTATGTAGAGAAACTCAAACAAAAATGTTTGTTTTTTTTAAATTATTAGAATTTTTTATAGGTTGAAGGAATTTTTTATGTTAATAGTCACCTAGAAAAACTGATGTTTGAAGAACTTGAAAATTCAACAAAATTTGGTGGCATAGGTGGATTTCTTCCGGGCATGAAACAAATTGGTAATGTTGCTGCATTACCTGGCATTGTTGGCGTATATTATTTTATATTTATATCAATTGAAATCTATTTCTCTTTTTTTATTGTATATAAAATAGAGATCTGTCGGTTTACCTGATGTTCATTCGGGTTATGGTTTTGCTATTGGTAATATGGCTGCTTTTGATTATAATGATCCAAAAGCTATTGTATCTCCTGGTGGTGTTGGTTTTGATATAAATTGTGGTGTGCGTCTTCTACGAACAAATCTTTCTGAAAAAGATGTACAACCAATGAAAGAACAATTAGCACAATCAATGTTTGATCATATACCAGTTGGTGTTGGATCCAAAGGTGTCATACCCATGAATGCAAAGTAGATTTATTGAAAAATAATTTTTTTTTTGTTTTTATCATAAAAATATTGATTTAGAGATCTTGAAGAAGCACTTGAAATGGGTATGGATTGGTCATTACGTGAAGGTTATTCATGGGCAGAAGATAAAGAGCATTGTGAAGAATATGGAAGAATGTTACAAGCTGATCCAACAAAAGTTACACAACGAGCCAAAAAACGTGGCTTACCACAGGTAATAAAAAAAAAGGTTAATTTTTTATTACTGGAGTGGGCCATAATAAATCAAACTAATTGTAGATGCAAATTTTCAATCATTTACTATGCATATAAAATATTCTACATATATATATATATATATATCAATGAACGAAGAATTTCAAGCTCTGCAAATAGAGTTCTGCACGGAGTCAACTGAATTTTCTACTGGAAATTCAATTTCAACATATGAACATTTTTGAATAGTAAACTTTATTTTCTGATATCTACCGTACAAACTAATGCATTTAGAATATTCCAACTATGTCTAATCAAGGCGTATGAACGTAAAAGAAAGTCGAACTCGAAAAAGAATCAGGGTTTCATTAGACTCTAACTGTATTTCATACCCAGCCACATCTATAGAATATTGTCAGAATCTCCAAATATGCATTAACTTGCATAGCAATTATCAAAGAACGAAACGTACAATTTTAAAAGAAATATGCATGTGTGAAAGCTGAATTTTCGGAAAGAAATTTAGTTGTAAAGAGAAATTTAGTTGTAAGGAGAAATTCACTGGATATCTAAAAAATAAAAATATTTTTCATGAAATCATTTATCTTTCAAAAGTTTCAATGACAGATCCATGTCAAAGTTCAAGATACGATAAGTGAAAAAAAAACAAAACAAAATTTTACATTGATTTACGGACCTGCTCGAGTTTTCATGCACTTTGGTGAAAAATATGTCGCAGTACAATTTACCTGTCATATAGTCTTGTCGAGAACGAAATTCGGCATTTTTTCTGTGTCAAAACTATAAGAAATATTTTCAACTACCTAGTAAAGCTGGAATATTCGAAAGTGGATCAGCCATATACTGAGCAAAGTTATTTGCTTTCGAAATTCTAGATAGTTTTGCAAAGTATGAGCAACAATGCATCACAATAAAAATATACAGGATATATAAATGTTCGGATTATCGTACAAAAGTAAAAATGTTCTTTATAAAGTTGGCATTCTCTATTGTGTTTATAAATGAATGAATGAATATTTTATACGAATATTTCTTTTAGTTAGGAACACTTGGTGCTGGTAATCATTATGCTGAAATTCAAATTGTTGATGAAATATATGATCGTTTTGCTGCTGGTAAAATGGGTATTGATTTTAAAGGACAAGTATGTGTTATGATACATTGTGGAAGTCGTGGTCTTGGACATCAAGTAGCAACTGGTAATAGAAGAAATATTATTTTGATAAAATAAATTGAAAATATTTTAGATGCTCTTGTTTCAATGGAAAAAGCAATGAAACGAGATCAAATTCAAACAAATGATCGACAATTAGCATGTGCATTAATTCAATCTGAAGAAGGACAAGATTATTTAAAAGGAATGTGTGCAGCTGCTAATTATGCATGGGTCAATCGTTCATCAATGACTTTTCTTGCTCGACAAGTAACATATATAAAATTGTTTTTGTTTTTCTTGAAAAAAAATATTTATTGATTATTTTCTTAGGCATTTGCTCATTGTTTCAATACAACACCGGATGATCTTGATATGCATTTAATTTATGATGTATCACATAATATAGCTAAAGTTGAAGAACATATTATGAGTGATGGAAAACAAAAAACTTTATTAGTACATCGTAAAGGTGCTACAAGAGCATTTCCACCTCATCATCCATTAATTCCAGTTGATTATCAAATTACAGGACAACCTGTACTTATTGGAGGTAATGAATATAAAAATATGAAATAAATATTCGTTCTTTACTTGTAAAATTCAAGGTACAATGGGTACGTGTAGTTATGTTCTTACTGGTACTGAACAAGGTATGAAAGAAACATTTGGTTCAACATGTCATGGAGCAGTAAGTGACACGAAAAATTTTTATTATTTCTTGAAAATTCTTCTAGGGTCGAGCATTATCACGTGCTAAATCTCGACGAAATCTTAATTGGTATGAAGTATTAGATGAATTAAAAGAAAAAGGTATTGCTATTCGTGTAGCATCACCTAAACTTGTTCAAGAAGAGGTAAGAAGAATGATTATAAACATATCAATTTTGTTTTTGCTTATTTTTAAAATTTGTTTTTAGGCACCTGATTCTTATAAAAATGTAACTGATGTTGTTGAAACATGCCATGCAGCAGGTATTAGCAAATTATGTGTGAAATTGAGACCGGTTGCAGTAATTAAAGGATAGTCAGCTCTTTTTTGTTTTATTAATATTATCTATAGCCAAACGACACTAATGTATAATGATTGTTCTTTACTTGTTTTTTGCTGTTATTGTTTTTCTTATTTTATTGTTATCTAGGACTTGTTTGAGCCTTTTTCTTTCTCATTCTTGAAATATATAATCAGGACTAAAGGATAAGACTAAATATTTCATCTTTTAGTTTAATATTATGAAGAAATTCAAGATTTATCTTATAATGTATGATGGCAATTCTCAGATAGAAAAAGAAAAACAAAAATTTTAAAGTCAAAAGACTCAACATGAACACAGAGTCAAAATGCATATCTTCAACTTTTTATTACTGCCTAGCCTTTCTAACCTTTTCAAACTTTCTAAAAATTGTTCATTACAAATAATTTGAAGCTTTTAACACAGATAGACCACAATGAATAGAACCAAGTTTGCCGTAGACTCACTATTTCCGATAGAAAATAGTGAAATGGTAAGAACTCATAAGAGAATGCTTTTGGATAATCTTCCTATTGGTGAATGCATTCCAATGATATGATGATAAGTAAGGACTACACAGTTTATTTTCCAGCGGAATCTGTTGATTTTCTATGGATTCATCGAATTCATCTATCATAAACAGTAGCTATCTCAATTTCAATATTTTATTATTGTTCGTAGTCTACTTGAAAATCACATGTTATAATTCATCTTGTATTTTTTTTTATTTTGCCGATTTGAAAAGCAGCATGCATTGAAAATAGTATTACTTTTCTCAGTTTATGAATTGAGGGATGTTGTCCAATGAAATCAAATGAAGTCAAAGCAATGATTAACTGAACTTTGGTTTTCAAATAATACTCCTGAAATAAAATGTAGCATCGTTTTTCTATTCTTTCATTATTTTTTTTTTCTGACTGCAGATTGTTTATATGGCATGAAACTGAGAAATAATAATGTTTGATTAAAGTAAAAATATATTGACTAAGAGAATCACGAACAATTATAAATATTCTTTAATTGTTCAATATCATTTAAAAAATCAACACAGTAATTACCATTGTTAATCGTTCTTTGACTTTACTTGTATCTTGATGATTAATACAAATTTTTCTAATTATTTTTAAACTTTGCTCTGTCGTTTTTTTATGTCAGATATTCTCCTAAGATAACAAAGAAGATGATGAAAGTAGAATGTAAATATCAGGTAAAACGTATCTATATCCAATGCTTTTATCAGTTTTAATCATACACGTGTTGCAAGCTGAAAAGAAAAAAAAGTAGCTCTGATGCAATGTTTTTATCAAACATTACAACCAATATGTAAATATGAAGATTTTTGTATGTTGTTTAAATATGAAAGTTTTATAGCATGATGTACTAGTTCCTCGTCACAATAAACTTGTATCGAGTCCACTGCAGAATATCGATACCATTTAAGTCACTAGTATTTTGGTGTTCATAGAATGATTGCAAGAAAAACGTATATTATTTATCTTATAGAATAAACGGCAGTACAAACTGACGCCCAGATTGCGATAAAACTCTCGTTCTATTTTTGTTTCATGGTAGCAGTACTGGTCACTCAACTGGCCTGCTTATATGTCTAAGAACAATTTAAATTCTAGGTGCACATGTACCAATGTTTTGTCATTCATTGATACCCGAGATTTATTTGTTTGACTAACGCAATGATGAACAAGGAAAACGAAGTTGATTGAGATGAGACATGAAAAACTTCAAATCGATGAATGCTCTAGATCTTCCTACCACAATTATAGCGATCTTACACTCGTTGTCGTCAGTGACATAGCGTGTACCAAGAAATAGAATGAAGGTTATATCAACCTAACTTTGGTCTACAGATAAGTCTATTTGTAATTAACTAAACTCTAGTCACAAGTAGATCTTTCTGTAGGCTAAAATTCAGCTCGAAATAATCTTTGTTCGATTTATTGATACATGTCGTGTCACAATAGAAAATTTGAGTAAAATGGCTAACACTCTGAAAGAAAGGTCTAAGAGGCATTCATCCTTTTGAATATTTTCCTATTTGACTTAGGTCTACTTTATGCATAGAATTTCGAATTCAAAGCGATATCTCACTTGAAAACGGTTCACTCGTCAATATTCAAAAAGATCAAACTAACAATTGGTTGTTATTAAATTATTTTGATTTAACGCACACTGAAATTTAAGTATTATTCCAATTTTCAATCAAAATTTAGTGTTAAATTAATCTAGAAACGATAAAACCACTTCGTTATTTAATAATAGCTTAATGATGCTTTCAATTTGTTCGTCACTGATAGAATACTAGGAATAATGAAATAAAATGATTGCTTAAGTTTACACTATTGCCCGAACTGTTGAAAGGCTATAATCGTGATACAAAAGTATTTATATATCTTCGCGTCTTATATCAAATAGTAATTTCTAAAATGTATCGACTTTTAAGAAAGTGACTAGTCAGTGTATCATATAGATAATCTCTTAGAACTTGATCATTCAAGAACTAATAATATGTAACTAAAGATAGTATATAAAATATCAGCATACACATTAACTGATGCAAAGTTGATATAAGTAAAAATGTTTATTCAATTAATGAAGTATTTTCAAACATAAATAAGAAAAAAAATCTGTCTTGTTACGAGTAACATTGTTGTCTCATTTTTTTTTGTTAAAAAAAAATTTCAGCCATATTCTACAAGAATAATAATGCATTCTAATCTATTTTAAATATACGCATATAAATATTGATGTTGCATATGTCGAACTACAAATATTGTACTTGTCTTATCTTGCATAAAAGAGCTCAAGGTAAAGTGAGAAGACTTTAGACAGTTATCATACTGACATAACATAATTTATACTCACGTCATATATAATTGAAAAACAAATGAAAACTTTACCTTTTCATGATGACTTGACATTAATCTAATGAATAAATAGGAGAGTTCATTGAATGAAATGCACATTTAGAAAAATGATTAATAACGAACCTGATGCTCCATTTAATTCTAATAAACAACCACGTCATCCAGGTTTTACCATTGGTCGTAAATGGCATTTAAGTTTTTCTATTGTTGCTATTTGTTTGTCAGTACTTAATGTTATATTTGCCAGTGGGCAATCAATTGGTTTAGTATTATTTCTAGGAAGTTTTAATGGACTTACAGGAGTTTATTTTGTTCTCTTCTTCTGTTCACTTTCATTTACAATAGTATTTAGTATTATGTCAGTATGGTTTGGATATAAAAAGCAAATAACACATTCAATGAGATCATCTCGTTGGATAAAATATATGCTTTTAGTTGGTGTTTTTGATGCAGCCAACGGTTTTTTATTTGTATTTAGTTCACATGGTACTCGTGTACCACCAGCATTATCATCAATTCTTATACAATCCATTATTCCTTGTACATTTATATTTTCAAAATTTCTTCTACCTAAAAAATATCATTGGCGACATATATTAAGTGTAGCTCTTGTGCTTGTTGGTGTTGGATTTAGTCTTATACCAACATTTAAACGAATTCATGATGGTACGGCTAAAACAGAATTAAAAGATGGTTGGTATTGGCCATTTATATTTATAGTAGGTTGTATACCAGCTGCTTTAATGAATATAGTACAAGAACAATTACAAATAAAATATACTCAACAAGCACGAGAAAATCAAGAAAAAATTACAAGATTTTCAGTTATGTATTTTCAAGCTGTTGAATCAACATTTCAATTTTGTACAATTGCATTATGTTTTGCACTTGATTTAGTACCAAAATTTGGTACATCAAACGATATTCATTCATTTTGGACTTCATTTTCAAATGGATTTAAATGTTTTTTTAATGATAAGAGTCTTAGCGGTGGTCGTTGCCATGTTGCTGGAGGTACAGGAGTTTTATTTATTGTTTCCTATTTAGGAACATACATAACGGGTACATTTCTTACTGATCATGTATCGGCTAATTGGTTATCAATATTATCATCTATTTCACCATTAATAGCAACATCATTTTGGT